AGCCAAATAGACATTAGCTAATGCAAAGAGTTTTAAATAAATGTTCTCATGAACATTTGCCATTCTAGACCATTTGTTGACTTCTCCAGATATAAGAACTCCACCTAGATTTCAGTGGGAATTGCCTGACACAATATGCTCAAACAGGTTTCTTCTTGGCACAAAGTCTATTACTGTCTCTTATTTGGCACTTAACAATTCACAGAAATCAGAACCTAATTGGGAAAGATGTGTTAAAGAATATACATACATATTGAGAACAATGCGTAAATTAAAATGGATATTAGGGGCTTGTTGCACAGGCCAGAAAAATTGGCCGAGACCTGAATCCAGAGCTTTGGGAGTGATGTGAATTGAAATTTTGATAATTGTCTTGAACTGGAGTGAGATTTATTGTAAATGAACTTATAGTAGAACCTCTGGTCACTAATGCTTCTGACCATGACCAAATCAGTTTGCTTTTTTTTGTAAGTGCAAAATTTCCTGTTTGTTCACAAACAACAGCAACCCATGTGTGGCTGCTGCATTAATTTTGGTTAGGTTCGGGTCACAAACAAATCAGGTTGTGACCAAACTTATGGAACGAATTATGGTCATGACCAGAGGTTCTACTATACTATGTTTCACTGTTTAGTATGAGTCATACCAGAGGTGATATGCAGCCAGTTCTGACAAGTTCTGGAGAACTGGTAGCAGAAATTGTGAGAGTGCAGAGGGAATGGGGATTTTGCAGTATCCTTCCTCTGCCACACCCACAAAGCCACGGCCACCTGTAGTAAAAAAAAATTGAATCCCATCACTGAGTCATACAACTGATATGTTTTGTCATTTGTTTTTTTTTAAGTAGAATCAAATGCAATTTGCAGGAAATTAAGTTTTATATGAGGTTGAAGTTGACAGAATTTCATGGCAGCTCATAAAAGAGAAATTTGAACGATTATATGTATTTTTTTTTAAAAGAAAAGGGTTATTGTAGTAATTACAATGGGGAACACCTATGCTAAATTTCAGTGGAGGATTTTTGTGCAAAGGGAAGGAGCATTCATAAGGAATGGCACTAGTTAATTACTGTCTGAGACAGAGTGTGATTATAGTGCTGTGATCATGATGGAGGTAACCCCACGCTTGGATGAAGTACAGAGAGGGAGAGGGAGGGAGGGAGGGGGCGAGAGAGAGACAGAGACAGAGAGAGAGAGAGAGAGAAAGAGAGAGAGAGAGAGAGAGAGAGAGAGACAGGGACAGACAGAGAAGAGAAACAGAGACATTGGAAATAGGCAATTTGTCCAGAGCCCTTTTGCTCCCGGCAGCTTCCCTATCTCTATCATGACTACATATCCACTGGAATTTTTTATACTGATGGGTTTCATACTTCAGTGATTAAGTATCTTGACTATAAATATGGGTGAATGCGAATGATATTTGCTAGAAAACGTAATAAAGCTACATTAAAGAACAGATAGAAATGGGTTTCTAGGAAAAAATAAATAGCTGCGATACTGAGAAATACAGTTCCGAGAATGAATGAATCATTTTCTTTCTTAGAAACCTACTTTTCCTTTTGTCTATGTGCTAGCTACTTGAATAGAAAAAACAATCACTTAATTTCTTAAGTTTGAATAGCTAGGTCACACTTCCCTCAACCTTCCTCATTTACGACCTATTTGAACTACAAGTACCAGAATTTCCCAGACAGCATAAACCCAATAGAGGTTGTCCTCTACTTACAATAGGTTGTTTAGTGACTGTTCAAAGTTACAACAGTACTGAAAAAGTGACCAATGACCATGTTTCACACTTACGACCATTGCAGCATCCCCATAGTCACATGATCAAAATTAAAACACTTGGCAACTGACTCATATTTATGACCCTTGCAGTGCCCTGGGGTCATGTGATCACCTTTTGTGACCTTCTGTCAAGCAAAGTCTATGGGAAATCCATAGTCACTTAACAACCATGTCACTAACTTAACAACCTCAGTGAGATTCACTTAAGAGTTGAGGCAAGAAAGGTAGCAAAACGGGGCAAAACTCACTTAACTACTGTCTTGCTTAGCAACAGAAATTTTGAGCTGAATTATGGTTGTAAGTCGAGGGCTGCCTATAGCTTTGGAGTATGTGGATGGAGAACAGCAGTCCTGTTTCCTTTTGAGGAACTGAAAATAAAGGTATAATTCAATTTAAATATGACTTTTATTAAAAAAAGCTAATGTACAAATTTTATTTAAGCAAATTAAATGCCCACATAGTGGGATGGAAACACAATTAGCATCTCACAAAAGAGTCTCCTATAAAATGCTCTTGGGGAGAATGGGCACAGATTTTCATGGAAAGGATTTGAGCTCAAACAGCTTAAGTCAACACTAAACACACAGCATTAAGAGCCACGGTGGCACAGTAAGTAGAATGCAGTACTGCAGGCTACTTCTGCTCACTGCTGGCTGACTGAATTTGGCAGTTCGAATCTCACCAGGCTCAAGGTTGACTCAGCCTTCCATCCTTCCGAGGTGGGTAAAATGAGGACCCAGATTGTTGGGNAATCAAGGAGAGAAGCAACCTAGAACTAAGGAGAAATTTCCTGACACTTGGAACAATTAATCAGTGGAACAACTTGCCTCCAGAAGTTGTGAATGCCCCAACACTGGAAGTTTTTAAGAAGAGATTGGTCAACCATTTGTCTGGAACGGAATAGGGTTTCCTGCCTGGGTAGGGAGTTGGATTAGAAGACCTCCAAGGTACCTTCCATTTCTGTTACTCTGTAGTAGCCCTATGTAGAGATGGTGACCCTGTGGTTGGCTGAGGACGATTGGAATTATAGTCCAGTGAGTTCAGAAAGCAATAGTTAAAAGGCAGGCTGAAAATTACACGCGTGCAACGAGATAATGAGCACCCTGCCTTGTCATAAGCACAATGCAATACCATTCCACGTATAATATCCGTCGTTTTAAAGATGGCCTGACAAAACCACGTTTTGGTGTACTCTCTGTATCTCCGGTAATCTGAAACCGTAATCATCCCGGTGACTGCTTTTCATCCAGTAACGATTTACTCGCATCGGCGAGCAAACGTGTAGATAAAAAACAACGAGACACGATCTAATCGAATAAACCAATTGCCACGGAATAGGAAAACGGGGATTACATTTCTCGAAATAAGAACGCTGATCGGACGATCGAGGGGTGGGGTGGGGGGGGGAAACCCCAGTATAATTGACCAGCAGCACTTCCAGACGCAAAGCGTTTGCGGTTACTAACAAGGATCACTGTCTCTAACCTGCCTTTGTCTGCAAATTCGTGAACCCATTTCAAAACTTTTGAAGTTGGGGAAAAGCTGCTCGGGGGAATCAACTTTATCCAAAACTCTTATTGGAATGCCCCCCCCCCCCGGAAAACCTATGTTTCTCTGGTTACCACGAATTCTTAAAACCAAACCAGCATAATCTTTTTCTTTTTTTCCTCGAGAGGGGTAATGGTGCAGACGGTATCTTTTTGCAGAACGATACTAAGCCCTGTCTATATTTGCGTTTTGGTCTTTCTAATTTAAAGTTTTGAGGCGCAAGCGGGGAAACGGACACCGGGTAGGATCGTCAAGGCAGAAAACGTAATTAAACTTGGAAAGATAGAAACCTATCGTACACCCGATTTCTCGGAAATCATTTCCGTTCAAGCTTTATAATTTCCACCTGGGGAGTTCCTACCTTGCTTATTCAGAGTTCAGGCATACCTCAGAGATGAGACAATATGTCTGCACTTTCGGTTTCCAGTAGTAAGTAGAGACATAATCACCCCATTTAAGGGTCCTTAATTTTTTTCTGGATCGCCTCATAGGAGACGGATTCAGGATTGCGTAACAGTTTATAGGGAAGCTTCCCGAGAGACGGAAAAATTAGAAGGAGGCAAGGATGATAAAGTCTTATTAAAATTGGCTAAAACGGTGTGTGTATGTGTGTATGTATGGAGAGAGGGGGGGGATACACATAAATCTATTATATATCTATAAGTATATATGCCTTTTGCTTTTGCAAAATACATATCACTCCTCTATTTTATTTCCCTTTACATCTTCTTTTGCTTCATACCCAGACATTCCTCATACAAAATATAATCTAATTTGATCAATAATTTCGACATGGAAAAATGAGTTATATTAATCATAAACATCTTCCCTGTAAAATAGTTTAAATAATTATTAAGTAAAATGCGTGGGGATAGAAGAGTATTTAATATTTAGTCTTTTTTCCTTCTTGCCCTACATTCTCTTATTTGAATTCACAAGAGAGGAAATATATACATAATGCCGAACAATGTTAATTTAAGTTTGTGGGCATAGTCTCCTCCCCGGTTAGGACTCGGAGAAAAGTTTCTCCTAAATTTTGAAGCAGAGATTCGGTATGATAAAATGTTACACTGTCTTCCCCCAAGGGGGAGAAAAAAATAAGACAATAAATAGTACCATATACAATAAAAACGGTCAGCCCTAAACAAAACCTTCTACTTCGTCTGTTCAGGAGCAGCTTATAATGTACTTTCAGAGCTGCTGACTCAGCACAGCAGCCCCCTAGTTACCGAATTAATTCTAAATTCCAAATGACTCTTTAAGGGACAGGAACTGCGCGTGTGGGAGAGTGAGTGGCAGGGAGAGGTGGGAGGGGAGAAAAAGGAATGGAGAGATCGAGAGACTTCTCAGGGTCCCCGAGGTCCCTCTTTGGGCTGCAGTTCTTTACTCCGAGACATTTACTCCGAGCCAGAACCCTGAGTAAAATAGCTTTCGAGTTAAGCTCGAGGCGTCTTATATCCTGATCAAGGGCTGCAATTTTTAAGCAACCAAGGTGGAAAAAAATCCCAGAAGACAAGGCCTCCCCTCCCTCCCCACGATTTCAGGGTAAGACCCTCAAAGCCAAGGAACGTTTGAAGCCCAGCATGGTGAGCCGTCAGGAAAGTGAAGCCTCCTCCTCCTTTTTACAGTCAAACCTCAGATCTTTCGATCCGAGAAGGTTCCCACCTGGATCGGGGTCCGGCCGAAGACATTGGTGGCATTGGGATCCGCCCCGCTGTCCAGTAGCCTCTTCGCTGTCACTAGGTCTCCGCGGGCGGCAGCGTTGCACAACTGATTGGCCTGACAGTCGTCTCCATTGGGAGCTTCCATGTTTGACCCCAGCGGGTGTTCTCTAGGGCGAGCGCCTAGCGCATCTGCCGGCGGCTGGCTCCCTTCCTTTTCTCTTTTGCACACCCGGACACCAGTCCTGCAAAGATTCACGATCAAGCCTTCTGGTTTTCTCTTAGCCTCTCCAACCCCCTCGGAAAATCTCTTTCCCTACGAGCCTACCGTCTTCTTCAGCTGTTTCCCCGCACCCTCCCACCGATCTCGTTTCCCCAGGTAACAGAGCGAGTGAGGATCGTTGTTGTTCCCTTGTTTCAGCCTGCTCGGGTTTAATCAGCCAGGCAGGGATTTAATTCTCCGGAGGGCTACTGTAGTAAGATTTCCACTAGCGCCCTCTCTCGGTAGCTTGTAGGGAAACGAAGCAACGACTGAGCCGCGGGGGCGCATGCGCTTTGCTGATATGTGGGACTTCGGCGGCGAAGGCTGGAATCCTTGCCTTGAATGGAGCGTTCGTCCTTCGGTGCCTCTTTAGAGTTGCTCTGTCTGTCCCGCGCGCGGAACGAGGGGCAGATGTCTGGATTCGGGGATTCCGCTTCCCCTTCTGATTGGACGGTGGTTTAGAGCAAAGTCCCCTGCAAAGGCAGCCCACGTAGGAGACCCGTCTCTGTTGGTAATAACAAATTAAGACACTTTGGCACATATGCTCAGAAGTGAATCGGCCTAAGCTCTCCTCCCCAACTTCTGTGTGGCAATTGTCACACACACCAGTGCCACCCATTTTCTACCCAATGAGAGCGCTACCCCCCTTATGGGCAGAAATGGCACAGTCCACAACTCCACCCTGAAGCCTACGAGCAACTCGTCACGGGAGGCTTTTGGCTTACCTGCGTATGTTTGCGAGTGCGCCGCGGGTGTAGGTATGTGCACGCCCTGGTTCCTTTTGCTTCCCAAACGTTCTGTGCGATTTGATGCCGGACTGTCGAGGGTTAAATTCATTCAGTCCGACTTAAAGCCGAAAAAGAATGGCCAAGAGTCGTTTGTTAGGGAGAGAGGTGAACCAGGAGCACAAAGACGGTTTGATGCTATTTCCCATAGGTTCAAATAGCCAGCTCGTCTTTATTATTATTTTTAAACAGGCCTTGACCGAGTTCACACAGGCTGCTAGAATAGGCTGTGTGCAGGGGTGAAATTCAGCAGGTTCTGGAGAACTGGTGTTGGAAATTTTGAGTAGTTCGGAGAACCAGCAAATACCACCTCTGGCTGGCCCCAGAATGGGGGGGGAATGGGGATTTTGCAGTATCTTTCCCCTGCCATGCCCACCAAGCCACGCCTGCAGAACCAGTAGTAAAAAAAAAAAAGAATTTCACCACTGGCTTTGTGTGATATGAGAACCCAACCTTTGATTTGATACATTGCGTGAACCTATTTAAAATAGAAGACGCTTCTTGGATGAGAAGCGAAAGGTCTTCAAAAGGAAAAAAACAAGAAAATCCAGCTGGCTCCTGAATAAGCATCTTTGGGACAACCATGACCTAGATGACTGAAAATCTCTACAGACTTTTAGCTATACAATTTGGGATGAACACCCTTTGAATAGTGTGGAAGTAGGAATGGATTTCCAGAGGGGAAAAAGTTGCAGACTACTGGAACCAGGAGCACTACTCAGGTGACCCTGAGGAGACAGATAAACCTCCAAGTGCTTCAAGGACCCTCTAAAAGGATGCAAATGACCAGCTGTCTGCAAGGAATATGTCGTTCCATTCCCCACTATCCTGTCAGAGCTGAAGAAGCTTCTTGGATGAGAAGTAAAACGTCTTCAAAAGGGGAAAAAAAGGAAGAAAGTCCAGTTGCTTCTTGAAAAAGCACCTTTAGGACTGTTCAAAATGGGGGGGGGGGATTTGTGGCGGGGTGGAAGTAGGCAGAGCATTTAACAATTCTGTATTGTGTGCCTGGGAATAGCCTGACATATTTATGTTTTGTATCTGAAGGAGGCTCTTGTAAACATAGATAGCTCCCTCAGAAATGCATCCCAATTTAACTGGTTGGATATTCATGTGCATTCCAATAGAAGCACATGAAGTAACAAAGCATGTAGTTCAGAGAGCAAATAGGGCAGCCCCACATAGTTCCCCACTCTTCAGTCTACCCACTGGAACACAGAGATAGTTTGTACAAACAGTCATATATCGCCAGAGCCATCCAAAAAAGAAAAAGTTAACACTACCTTTGCAACAGTTAGCCAGTTCTACAGAGGCATCCTTGGATTCCTTAAAGTTTGACGGTCCACCTTGGGAACAAGGATATTAACAAACTCCTTGGGAACAAGGATATTAACAAACTCGCTTTTCCAGTGACTTCATCATCCTTGCTGGCTGCAGTCTGAAGGTTTGTTTCCAAGGGACTAAACTCACTGGTTTGCCTGACTCCAAGCTCACCAAAATTGGACTTCCTGTTATATCTTCTATGAAAAAGGATCTCTGGACAAGTCCAGGCTTGCTGTGCTGTTGAACGTCATAATCCAAAAGAGTCAAAAATCTGTCTTGAGTTGTCAGATGACTATAAATATACAGCATAACCTTTGATTAGGACTCTTTAGGCTGTTGTTTTTAGGGAATGTTTTTATTTATTTTCATTTTGGCCAAAGGCTATGTTTCTTTTAGAGATAATGTCTTGGGATGGGTGAGTGTGCCAACAGTGGGCAGGGGTGTAACCAGAGCCCAAATGAAGTGGAATGGAATAACTATCTCTCCCCCCCCCCCCCGTCTCTTCCTCTGTTTAGCAAAGTGCAGAGGGAAGGATACATTCAAATTGATGCTTTGCTTAATTTCATGAAACCAGACTATCATCAACACCTCCCCACCAAATAAAACCCTTTAAAATAAAGGTTAAGGGCCCCTTCACTCCATGTCCCACTTTTAGATATATCCTACATCAGAGGTATCAAACTCACGGCCCATGGGCCGGATGCATCACACACTGTCCCCCCATCCCACCCCCATTTTAGCAAAGGAAAAAAGTCATGATACGTCACACAACAACGTGACGATGCAAATTTGATACCCCTGTCCTACACAGCATTATCTTTTGGATACTGTAGGAAGTTAGCACCCACCCCTCTCCTAGAAAAATGAAATATCCTATAAAATATTGAAAAGGCAGAATATTATATTTCCCTGGATAAGAAATGGAGAAATATAGTTTTAGGTAGGAAGCAAACTCACTGTTAATAGCCCCCACCTTTGTCAATGGGCCATTAAAAGGCCTGAAGCAGTCTATTCTACATAACAAAAATCTCCCCTTCATCTCCAGGGTTATGGGATTAAGGCATGATAGTATCCATCTCACCACAGGATACCTGGGATGAAGCAATGCTCAACCAAACTTGTACTCAAAACACAGCCTACAGAGTTGCCCCTCTATGGCCCCATAGGAGCCTGACAACCAGTCAGAATACAAGCTCAGGTTCAAAGTCCAGAGTGGGCATAAAACTAGGGACTTTCAGCATCTGTTTTTTTTTCCTTCTTCACCCAACATCTGGAAGCATGTGACCCCCCTTTTCTGTTCAGGAGCTCAAGCCATGTGATCCTGTCCACCATTAAACCATCTTCCAAGCCTCCATGTTTCCAGTGTCTTTTCTCCACTTGGAACTGAACCCAGAAGGACATTTCTTCCAACAGTACACAAGGTAGTCTGATAGGGCCTGATTAGCACATGCTCACTTTTTCATCTTTTCTGTAGATAAT